AGCATGGATGCCCTGTTCGTCCACACGGCTTCCTAGAACATCTAGGATTGGGGCAAATGGCTGGAATTTTTTCCGGCTTATGTAGAATTTCGCCCCTTTCAGGTGAGTGAACAACCACAATAGTGCTTTATTGTGGTTTTCCACCGAGCTTGTGCTGGTGAATATATCGTCAAACCAGACGTGTAGGCATCTGCCTACTTCTCCTCATAGTTCCCAGGTCAGTGCATGCTGGAAGGTGCAGGGAGCATTGCAGTCTCCTTGCTGCATCGTGTTCGAGTTGTATGTCCCGTGGGGTGTGGAGAATGTCGTCCTATGGACATCGTCTGGGTCCATGTGTATTTGTTCGTACGCGTCTGACATATCGATCTTGGATCGGTATGCTGCTCTGGCAACTGATTCTTGGATCAGTCGCATGTCTGGCATTGGTGTGATGTCGAGGATCGTGTTTGAGTTACGATTCCTCACATCTATTACCGTGCGCAAAGATCCATCTGCTTTGCGGATGCACAGTAGTGGGCATGCTCGCTCGCTGTTCACGGGCTACCACCATCCTGCCTTTACATAGCGATCTATTTTGGTCGCTAGTGCTTCCTGCAGTGCTGCAGGACATCTTGGGGTGTTTTCCCGAAATTTCTTGTTTGGATCCTTCAACGGGATTCGATGGTTCACCTCCCTCAAGGGAGGCATTTCTAATGGCGCTGGTGCCATTACAGTTTCAAATTTCTCTCTCCACCACTCCCTGAGTATTTCGAACTCGGGGTTGTTCATGGAGAGGCCTTCCAGATGTGGTACATCTGGAAGTTCTAGTCCTTCCGGACTAGGATTGGGCCAACCTTCAGGGTACTTTCTTTGATTACCCTGAGGTGTGTTTCAATCCCACCTCCCTGTCAGGGGGGCTTCTTGTTTGGTTGTTCTCAAGCTCTTGCTCGAGTTTTCCATCCGTGTGATCTCATCACACGGTCTTCGCTTATTCCAAGGGTGTCAGAGACCAGATTTAAGACGAAGGAATGTCTCCGTAACGGGGGGCTTTGGCCTCAGCGACTTCTGCCAGGAGCGCTGTGCCTAGTGACACGTCCGTGCCCTAACTTACTGACTGGCACTTAGAACCTAGTGGGGGTAACTCTAGTTGATTTATCTGCTGGGGCGTAACCTATGTACAAGTAGTGTATATATATGGTTACAGCGGAGACGGTTCCGCAATTGGCGGAGCCGGACGGAGCGGAGCTAACGGGGTTAAGACATTAGCCGACTGAATATTACCGACGAGTCGGTTCACGGGGTTAGCGGAAAGGCAGGCGTTAACCCAGAAACGGAAAGGAGGGATAAGCCCGAAGGTGGACTCTGCAGGGCAGGCGAGTGTATTGCCCAGCGGAGGTGGGAGTGCGCTAGCAGACGTCGGAGCTGTCCGGAAGTCTTCGGGGCTCCGTACTTAGGGAGGCGTAGGTAATAAATTGAAATGAGGGGGTGGTGACCATCGAGGGGTACCGGGAGGTTTGCGGAATACGGGGGCTCCGAGGTTGGTGAGGGGGGAGCGGAGTTAGAACGGAGGGGTCGGAGAGCCCGGAAGTCGATGGCCGGGAATGGATATGACAAAGGGTGTCTATGTTGCCCTTGTTCACTGTTCTCACTTTGTGGGACTGGAAGTCTAAGCTTACCTGGTTTTTGTTTAACCAGGGGGCACCAAAGATGGCATCGTATCTGTCGATGTTAATTACATCGAAGTAGTGTTTTTCTACGTGGCCGTGGATCTCAACGTCCACGTTTGTTCCGAACAGGATCTGTGATCTTGTTCCTTTTGTCCCCATTTGAAGGACGACTGGGTTCTCCAATTGGAGAATTGGGATGTGGACTGCACGGACAAAGTCCGGCGATAAAGCGTCCGTTTTGGCTCCACTATCGAATAGCGCATAGGCTTTTGTGCCTGCTATTTTTATGTGAGCTGTTAGCATTCTCTTCGTTGAGAGCGGTCTGTTTGCAGGGTATTTTCCCGTGTCTTTTGAGATGTGGAATTTCGCATCCAACAAGGGGGACTGTGTTTCGATGGACTTTTGGTCCTTCTTCCCTTTGTCCTTGTTTTCCTTGGGTACTTTGGTGTATTTCCCCAAGGCATCTTTTCTTGGTGCTTCCACCAAGGCTTCAGCGACTTTTTCGTCTGCCGTGTTTTCTAACCGGCATGCTACAGCCAGTTTGATTTTGTAGTTTATGTCGTCGTGATTGATGACTGACATTGGGCCCATCCTTATGGTCCCGACGCTGACTTCCTCACCCTCTGAGTTGGGTGAGTATTGAGGTCCTTCGTATGGGTCCTCTACTTCCAAGCTTGATGCTTCAGAGTTACCAGAGTTGTTCTCTGGTTTCTCATCTGATGAGCCTTTCGACTCTTCATCCATTGAGGTCATGATCTCCATGGCAGCTATGCACCTTGGTTTTTCATCGCCCGTTACATTGTGTCTTGGACAATCTTTCGTTTGCCCTATTTTGCCACATTTGCCGCAAATTGGAACTGAATTTTGGTCAGTTGTCCTCGAGTTTTTCGAGGATGTATCCTCTTTCCATCTGGGTTTCAGCTCTTCAGCCTTTTTTCCTGATGGGAGGACTCTACTTGGCTTGTGGTTGCCGTGGTAGTTGTTTGGGTATAGTAACCTGATTTGTAGGCTGAGGACATCTTCAGCCCATCGATTATCTCGTCTACACGAGATATTGCTTTTAACATCTCCTCATTTGAGGAGAAGTCTGCTCTGATTCTATCATGAGCAATCATTTCCCTCTTCACTGCTTTGGACAGTTCTAGGTAGAACTGTTTTAGGCCTTTTTCCACTTCATATTTGATGTTGCAGTACTTCTTTGTCATGTTTGGTGTGGCAGAGGCTTTAATGAAAGTTCTCATCAATATGTTGAGAACTTCGAGGAACATGCCCTCGTCTCCTCTGAGGAGAGTTTCGTCTCGGAGTCTAATTCCGAGGTCGAACGCGGGCCCCCCTAATCCACAAATCAAGCAGTCCAGGTGGACTTCGTTGAATTGGGGACCTTTGCATCCTCGCGAGGCGAGGAATCCCAGTAGTTCTGTGAACCACTGCCAGAACAATTCCATGTCGTTCTCCCCTGACCATTTCTTGTCAGGGAATGCCGGCCCATTCTTTAGGGCTTCAGGCTTCACTCCTTCTGGGTAGGGAGTGAGTATTCTCACTTCGGCCATTCTTATGGCCTTTTTGTACCATTTCTCCAGGTACTCTTCTTGCTCCCCTGCCTTCGTGGGGTCGCTATCCAATGGAGATCTCTCCTTTGGGGGGGTTTTTGCTGGGGGAAATCTTCCTTGCAGCATTTCTTTGGTTTCAGGCGAATTTGCCTGAAGTTGTATTTGTATTCTCTCATTGTTTTGAGAGGGTGTGATTGAGTTACCTCTCTGTTCGAGAGGTCCGTCATAAGTGGACGTTTGGCCGAACCTTTGGTACATGCCAATTCTCCTCCTAATCTCTGAATGATGCCTTCTTTCGGCATCGTCTTCTCCTATCCTTGGGAGAAGGATCTCCTTAGCGTCTCTGTCGAGTCACTGATGATATTCCAGTGTGCTTTCACTGGTGGTTCTTTTCGTGAATTTTTCACGAGTTCTATTTATGTCCTGGACTGTGGTCCAGGGGTGTTTATTTGTTTCCTCACTTTTTTGTGAGAAATTTATTTCCTTCAGCAAGTCTGTTTGTTTGCTGATTTTTTCAGTCAACGCGTCTATTGTGTTGGCCATTCTTTCTAGAGTTATCTCTAGACGAGCCATACTATTATGGTTCATTTCCTCGATCTTTTTTTGGATTGAGTTTATCATGTTTATTATGCACGATTCCTGGTTTTCCAGGAGGAAGTCTGGTTGGGCAAGCAGAGACTCTCCCCAGTTGACATTTCCACTTCTGGGGGTTCCAGAATGGGTTCTTGGAGTGAACACTCCATGCTTGCTTTGTTTAGGCAAGGCCGTTGCGGAGGGTGCTTCCCTTTCATAGAGGGGTCTGTTTGCTGGTTTTTCCTTACTTTTATGTAAGGCTTCCTCAGCGAACTCCCTCATTTCAGTTCGCCTCCTCTTCATTATCTCGGAGACCTCCTCCGAGGTTGGTGACCTTGCCTTGTCTGGCATGGTGTGTGGGAGTGTAAACAGCGGAAGTTCTTTTGGAGCTTCCGTGCTCTGGGAGATCCTGCTCTCAGGGTGTATCTTCGCACCTTCTCGGGCTTTTAGCCTGAGAAGAAGTTGGTCTTCACTTTCCGTCCTCCATTCAGATGGAACCTGGAACAAGTCCAGTAGTTTTTCGGATAGCCAACGCAGGGGCTCTTCCCTTTGTTTCCCTTTGTCTGCCTTTGGGGCTTGACTTGGGGACGTGAGGGGGGACTCCAGGGGATAGTGAGGCCCTGGAGTTTCCTGCAACTCTATCCGATCAGCTTTTTGGGCTGATCGTTCGGCACTTACACGTTTTTCGCGCAAGTTGATCACCTTGTGTGGAGGTGAGGGATCTTCCCCAGCTTGGGTTAGATCGGGATGTCATGGAGTTCTGGGGGTATTTGGCCCCACACTTACTCCACATAAGTTTCTAAAACCTTCAGGGACCAGCCCTGAGGTGGTTGCTAATGCCGGATCATGTTGATCCTTGTCGTCATCTGACGATGGCTTTTGGTTTGAATCTCTCATCATGGGAGATTGCGGTTTCTTAATAAACCACTCATTTCTTTTTAGTGTCGCTGCAGATGCGACTTTGCCCTTGCGGGCATGTTTAGGTGCCATACGTGCTACCGAGTCAGAAGTTAAAATTATGTAGTTGTTGTGGGTTGTGTTGTAAAACACACCTCATACACTTAAAAAAGTGTGAGGTCTTTGGGTAGCTCAGCACACAAAGCCGTAAGTGATACAAGAATGTGTATTTTATGGTGGTGTGTAAGCAGTTACCCGGAGGTTCCCGCTTACCCACGTGACTATATGTATCTAATTTACATATGACTCGGGGTTCGGGGCTATTGCCCTGACAATCAGCAGCCAGTGATTGGCCGTTACTAGTGCATCAGGGAAGATTGTGATGTGTTTGTAGTATCTTGTCTGGCCATCTTGTTTCACCATCTAATGGAGCATCAGTGGGATGAGTGGTGGGAGGCCAGGGGAATTCTCACTCTTCCTGATTCTTTAGGCAAATACAACTCCATTATTTCCTTCCAAATTTTTGTTGGCTTTTGTTGCTGAGAGGATTTGCTGGGTGAGCATATAACATCAAAGATCATTGGAATCGGGGGAAGGCTCTGAGGACAAGGGTTCTGATTCCAGAACATCTCTTCGATGTTCTCATTACTGCTGGAATTATTTGCATCTCCTGATTGATTATGCCAAATAGCCATAGGAGGTGGAGCCAAATTGGCAAGAGGCTCGCTGAATGTTTCGACATTCCCCGCAAGGTCAATTGCGCCATCTGGCCCTGCTTCTAGCATGTCATCTACATGGCTTGGGGCCACCTCAGGGTCGAGAGCATTTCCCAGGCCACTAGCTGCATTGGTAGGCAGGTCGGGGTCAGCATGATCAGCATCTATGTCCGGCTCAGGACTCATCCTAATAAGCCCATTAAGGGCACTTAGCTCGTTTCTGGCCTCAGCATCGTCTTCAGGGTCAATGTCATTACTTTCTGAGGGTAGAGTGGTGGGAGAAGGTGGGAGAAGGTGGAAGGAAGAATATTCAGTGGTACTTGGCATAGCATTGGCATCGGGATGCTCTAAGTTTGTGAGTAGATAGTGTGCTGATGCACGCCATAGATTGATGTTGGGAAATGGACCGTTTACGATCGTATCATGGCATTTGAGGGACAACCTTAAGCGTAGTTGCAATCAGTGGTTGAATAGGGCTGGGATCGAAAAAGAAGATTAGCAATACAGGTAATCAGTGGAACTTATGTGACATACGATGGATATTGTCCATTATTCAAATCAACAAGTCCACCGATTGGACAATCCAGGTACATGCATTAAGTCCTTCTCAGGCAAGCCTGCACTTTTCTTCCTCAATATGAGCAAGTGATAGCATCGCTGCTATCCTGTGGCGAACCTGCTGATTGATGATGAAGGCCAGTGGTTTCTCATCCAGGGACCAGTTGGAGTTCCACAGGCTCTCCCACATCTTAGTCCATCGTTCATCACAGGGGTCCATATTGAGCACCTCTTTGACATTCATTTTCGCATGCACTTGAGAGTCTGGGAACCAGGATGGTCTGATGGAATGTTTGAGGCTGTTGACAAGCTTGTTATATTGTGCAACATGGGCAGAAATGGTTCGGGCACGGTCATTTGCACTACTAAACACTGAGACCATCCTCGAGTATCCTTAAAGTACCAGATGGGCTCTTAACTACAGCATCATTCACCTCAAGTGGGAGAAGGCTTACCGACTTTTGCAACTAGCCGCCCTCCACACCATTGGGAGCTTCGAACAGGGTTCATCTCATCCTGGTACTTGGCTAAGTGGATAAGTATAGAATGTTTGTGGAACCGGGCTAGAATATATTTCTCGATGTAGTCCCTTTCTGGGCCAGATGGATTTCGCGGAAGTTTCAGATCGGACAGACCAATTTGGGCAGTCAAATTGCGCAAGCATCTTTGGGATTCATCATGTAACTCCTGCAGATGCTGAGCAGCTTTGAAATGCTCCTTGAGATCGGTAGAACTATCGGCCATTGTTCGTATCAGGATGATACGATCCAGCTCCTTCTTTATGGCTTCCAATGCATCCGAATGTGCCTGAGCCAACCGTTCAGCTTCCAAAAGTTTTGCGAACTTTTTCATTCAGCTTGGTCATTGTCTAGGACATAACAGCATAAGCCAACACCGAATGTGGGATTGGAAATGTGCATACAAGCCCGAACGGAGAGCTGCAAAGACTTTTGCTCTTCCCACTGGGATTGAAGAAAACGAGTCGTGAATCCACTATTATTCAAATCTTGGAGAAGTTCAGTCGAAAGTGCCTCCTCATGAAGAATGGTGGCCATTTTAGACCTTGCCAACGAAGCGAGATGGTCTCAACCACGGGATGCAATTAGCTTGATTTTGCTGTCAATAGTTGCAATCCGTTTTGCCGGCTATATTTCCGGAGCAACATTGCATCAGACCGGGCTTGTGGAGCGAACGGTATAGGGCATGTCGGGACTCACACTCATCATGTGTTCAGGCGCTATCATGTCAACCATTGAGGACCATAACCGCTCATTCCCTTCCCTGTTTGACTTCCCAAACCTGTTGCATTTCCATGGGTGGAATGCGATTTAACAACAGAATTGATGGGCATAAGCATGTGTCACAGCCCTGCAAAGTCCCTGCCCCTCTACCACTTTCTGCACCCCCATTCTTGCACCCGTTACTCGTGCCCATTAATCGCGCCATTGCCCATCGCTTAGCGGCGCCGATAGTGGTTCCCGTTCTATGGCCCCATAGCAGCGACTCAAGTGGAGCGTTGTGCCATTGCTGTTTGTCCATTTGGTCCTTAATTTCACAGTAGGTGAGCAGGAAGTCTCTAGGGGGCATTTCAGGTCGATTTCGGACTGAACCAAAATGAGTATGTACAAGTGCCGATATATATAATGGAGGGGGCAAAAGCACAAGGGAACAAAGGGAAACCGAATCGGAATGAAGACGTCCGAACGGGAACAAAGGGTAGAAGAAGCGGAGCGGTACCGAAGGTCATAAGGCAGGACCTGTGATACGTCCGAAAGGAGGTAGAGAGGGCGAGGCCCAGAGGGGCAGGAGGATGAGGAGAAGTGGGGATGATGACTAACTGGCTAGAATGGGAAGAAGCAGTAGTCCAAATAGGGATGAGGGGTAAACGTGAGAGATACATTACAAGCGGCGAAAGTGCCGAAGGCGATCTGCAAAGCTTGGGGGTTGCGGAGGTTATGGAGGTTACGGAGGTTACAGAGGCGGGGTTGAAAGTCCGAGGGATATTGGCAATGGTGTTTACGTAGTATGAGGTCACCAATGCAATGGACTAAGACCGAGGTGGAGTCAAAGTCCGAGGTAGGGACTATGACAGAGGCTCGGAGCAAAGGTACGAGCAGTGTCTGAGTACGAAGTACGGGACAGCAGTGGAAGGTCGTAACTTGGTGGGGGGGTGGTGGAGGAGTACCAGAGGGAGGAGAGTGTCATGACCCGGCGTTCCCCGGGGCCAGACGACCTCCTCCCTGACCCTCTCCCACGCCCGAACACTCCCTGCACACTCCGCTTGCCGCCCGTCGCCGTCTAACCACTTCCCGCCGCCTCTCCACAACCCCTCTCTTGATTGTCGTTGAACGACCTAGCGGCACAGAGCGCCGCGACCTGTTGTCCCATGTTTTGCCGCACCTTGTTACCTCGCGGCGAAGGTCACGCTTGACCTTCGCTGTCTTGAACACGTGCTCTTTGTTTGTTTTCCTCCTTCTTTTCTCCGCCCGCAATCTCCGCGAGATCTGGCGACTTATTCTCCATTCAGTTTCCTAGCGCTTATATACAGCTTGTAACTAATGCTTGTACTGTAGTTCGAAATCAACTAGAATTCACCCCCTAAGCTTACCTCTGTCCCCCGTGAGACCTCCGACTTTCTGAAGTATCGGGACCGCGTCGAGAACGAGGCGCAACGCTCCTCCTCGAGTCGTTGAAGCCAAAATCCCGGCTCACTCGCCTAAGTAACCTCGGCCTCGAGATCGGTGGGGTTTATTCCTCGCTAAAGCTCGGTCGTGTGTAGGACGCCTATTCCACTAGCGGGCAACGCTCGGTCGCCTATGGCTACCATCGGCGAAGATTCGCACGGTTCTGACAGAGAGAGGGGAAAGGTAAGGGGGAAGGAGTGGCAGGAAGGAGAGTTGTCAGGTCCGAAGGTGAGTATCGGAGTGGATGGGGGAAGCATAGGAGGGTGACGGGAGGGTGGAGGTGTTGTGAAGGAGGAGCGGAGTAGGAGGAGGAGGAGTAGTAGGAGGGTGGCGAGAGGGGCGGTGTTCGGTCCGAGGTGAGTATCGGAGCAGACGGAGATAGGGTAGGAGAGGGAAGGAGGAGTAGAGGTGGCATGGGGGGGTAGAAGGAGGTGTGTTGCCAGGACCGAAGGTGAGTATCAGAACGGCAGCGGTAGGGTATGACTCTGGAGGTGAAGAGGGTGGAGGTCCGGAAGTCGGGTCAGGGTCGGGTATGCACGGATATGACACCACCACTTAGAGTTCCTCAGCCATTCAGCCAATACTGTTTTATTCTTATTCATTCGCTTAACTAACTAGCGGTTGTTATGGTCACCGCTGATCTGCTCCTTATTGACATTTGGTTTATTCCTTTATTGACAATTGGTTATTCCTTTATTGACATTTGATCTATTCGTATATTGACATTCTGATCCGCGCGCCTAGATTGTCGGCCTATTCATTCTGCCTCCCAACTTCGCTGTCCTCTGTTCCATTCATTTCTTCTGTTCCACTTCCCTGGTCCTCATTGCTCTTTTAGTTCTGTCATACTTACCATCCCGCTCCCATCTCGCGCCGGACCGACCGGCCCCTTCTCTGTTCTCCTTTCTTATTTATACTTGTAGCTTACTGTCGATGTACCTTAGTTCGAATATCGACTAGAATTCCCCCCAAGTACTCTCATCCTAAGTTCACCTCTCAACTTCATCCCCGCTTAAGTCAACGTCGCCACAAGGTCTTTCCCGCTAACGTGAAATACGGGACAGCCTAGAACGCGTGGTGCAACGCTCTGGCCAAGTTGTTGAAGCCGAAGTCCCAACCCCACGACACCTTGCAACGGAGTAGCTCATTAGCTAAGTGACTACTTACGCCGCCGTACTCCGCTCCGCTTCCCGCAATCACCTCGAACACAGTTTCTGACAGCATGGAAGACTGAAACTGCGATGCTTAATCTGGGGGCAATTTCAGGGATAAGATTATACTTTACTCAAACATCAGAGGTTGTATCTGCAGAGTGTGCGAAGTCATACCTTGGCCATGGATCGATCAAGAACGCACCCAACATCATACATCAGTCCAATGGTGGCATTTGAGGGGAGTTGGCAGCTGAGTGCGATGAGCATGGCAACTGAGAAGTATTGCCATTCGCCTGGAGTGTGCATGTCACATAGGAAGAGGGGAATATCATGATGGCACACAGTTGCCATCAGGCCCTTTGAACGGAAGGTATCCATTTTGGAGGCTGACTTCCCTTCATGTTTTGTGGCTCAGTGGGATTCTTTGCATTCATCAATGGCACCATCCGGTACAAGAGATGAAGGACAAGATTCCAAAGAACCTCTAGATGCAGCTTGTGCCTCAGAGACATGGTGGGCAGCTTCATCTATTTCAGCCTGGGTCAGGAATGTGCAGGTTTCATTCCAGGGAAGAACCATCTCTCCTCCAACAAACATGTACTGCTTATGTTGCATATTACCATCCATAGCGACAATGACATCAGGATATCTGGGGAGGAAATTAGCATACCCGTTCTTGAAATAGATGTGAGGACCAACTTATTGGCAGGACTACCCCACACTGACCCCCCAAAACACTGTGGGCATTTCGCGCGGAGGTATGGGCTGGCACTGTTGCCAGAGGCGTTGCGAAGTAGCTTTGTTCGCTCACAGGTCAACGATTGAGGATTCGTGGAGGCTGGCATGTCAGGATCACTAGATATCATGCCATGAGGTACGATCGTTGGATCGCTGTCGTGAGCAGATCCGTCATGGTCAGGCCCTACAGATTTATGTGGCGCGTCAAGACATAGCGGTGCATCAAGCTCCGCAGGGCCTGTGGGTAGGAGAAACTCTCTTTCTGTTTCAACCTCTACGACGTCCCGCAGGGCCTTAAACCATGTAACCGCTTCGCTAAACGGGCCTAGAAAGGGTTCCTATATGTAAGTGCGATTATGTACATGTCAACGCCACACAAATAATGAATCTTACATTGACAGGGAATCCATAACCGTTCTCCCGCAATATGCCAAACAAAGCGGCATGGAAGGAGGCAATCGGAGTAGACGAGCTCACATTCAAAGCTAGGTATAGGGAAAGGACGTCGAAATGGAAGGCAACCTGAGGTATCACAGGTGACCCAGGAAAGTAGCCGGACTGGATGGTGCTAAGCGGGAGGGTATTGGAGGGACATTCGCAGTATTCAAACGTACGCCGCACGGCACCTGGAGTGAGGTCATTAAACCACTATTAGAGAAGCCAGGATACCAACGTACTTGAGGATGTGATCGTCATGAGTGAATGAAACCGGAGGTATGTGTTGCAACGAGAGCAGAGCGACGCTATCGGTGTGCACAGGCATCCGTTTTCATCAAACAACGTCTCACCAGGGGTACCAAGAGATATACGGCCCGCCTTCTTCGCCTCCAAATCTAAGTAGATTCCCACTGCTTTATATATCACGTTCTCGCGCCAATGAAGCCAAGCTGCCTGCTTTTGTGGGTTCCGCGATGCTCTCTTGTTTCGTTTTTTGGGAGCTGATGGCGGTGGCGAAGGGGATGAAGGGGTGTCTGAGCCTGGGATAGTGGCTTCTGCAACATTTTCCAACCAAGAGTGGGGAGATTCTTCCCATATGAGTGACTCCATTTTTGGAGCCTGCGGTGAGGGGGGCGTCGAGATGTTGTCGGTGCACGCCAGCATCGCACTCCCCACATGATCGTGGCGATTTGGGACCTGCCACCGATGGGTGGACTGGATTCCTGGTCCCCAGCGTTGGGTCACCACAGAGCCACCGGAGGTTGCTATCTCCACCCGTCGTGATGGCTGGGGGGCGGTGTTGTCACGAGCTGAGGCATGGACATTGGACATTGAGAATTCAGGATAACGTGCAGGTTGGGGGTTAAGGAGATCGCCATGTTTTTTAGGTTTATTATAATTATATGGACGACTTTTTACAGGTGAAGTAGAAACGGGAGCCTTTACAGGTTTGTATCTCCTCGGCATGGTGTAGTTGCTTTGGAAAACTAACGCGTTCAGGTCAAAGCAAAGAACAGGGCAGGCCCTTCAACAAGAACGCGCGGGTCGCGCTGTCAATTGATCTGTAAAGGAAATGCGCGCTCAGCTGAACAGCCATGCGGATGTGGCTGCAGGACACACCAATAAGGGTGGACACCAAACGAGGTGAGCCGGAGCGATTGCTTGTCCGTGTTGCAGTGGGAAATAAAGCCAGGGCGCTGAAGCTTCAAAAGCGGTTCTTCTATGTGGGTATTGGGCACGGAGTGGTAGGCAGTGGCGGGGGTACACGTCGGGTCAGGTTCTGTCCGATTGCACCGTCTGGGATTAACCAGCACTGACCGAGGAGTTCGCGGTTACTCAGACCCAATGTGAATGTGATCCCACTAATCCGGATTGGATAAGGGGTAGCGTGGAAAACGGGATGCAGAGGGTTGCGATAACTGCCAACAATTCCGCAGGTTGAGGCCGTTTACGCCCGTTCGATTGCAGTAGATGATACACAGAGCTTTTATTACTATTCTGGGGATGTCCCACAACAGAGAGCAAGATCTAAGTCTTTGTGCGCGAGTGAGGAGCAGGGTAGGTAGGTAGGTATGTGTATCGCGTAATGCGCCGTTCAGAGGAAATGTGGGGATGAGGCGGCTCGTACTGGTTATGCCTGTGAAGGGTGTCGTACGGGGTCGGAGTGGGAGATCGGCCTTTGCAGCGTGTTGCCTGGACGAGGGAAACGACAACGAGACGCTAGCGGTGCAAGGGTGCAGCCTCCAGCCCTCCTTAGTCGGATATCTCTACAAAAGGGCTATGAAGCTGCACGGGACGTCGAAAGCAATCACCGTTCCACACAAACGACGTATGTCCGGGAGGCTCGATTGGCTGAAGAGCGTGCTTTAACCGTGACGCACCAGCGACACACTAAGCGCCTCCGGTGGTCTTCAGTTAGCTGCGACGAGGGGATTCTTCTGAAATATCTGTAGGGCGATTGAGGGCGAATGCAGGGTGTGTTGTGAGAGGTGTCGATACAGGCAGAAGGTTTGACCCGAGTGCCCTTACCAGCGAGAGGCCTGTCAAAAGCCCAACGATAACCGACAGGGACAAATGAGTGTTCGTGCGTGATGGCCTTGAGCGATGTGGAAAGGAAACGGGGTGCTGCACGGATCAGAAGCGATTTTCACAAGACGTGAACGACGGATTTTGTGCTCACCGGATATGGCCCCTATTGTAATGGATAGGACGCCGAGCCCAAACCAGTGATCAAAAGCCTATTTACAGTGCAACATACGGTCATATCGGGGGCTGAACGCGTCGAACGACGCGTGCGTCACTCACCTTCACTCACTAACCTGAGTTGCCTCACGTGAGTGTGGGAGCCAGCTAGAATCGGACTGACCCCTCTTACAGTGAGTTCGTCTTTGCCTTGCACAACGATGGCAAGTTCCTCTGCTGCAGCGTCCACTTCCACAAGAATCCATGACGATCAAGTGGATATGGTCATTAAGTCTAGCAAGATACACCATATGGTATGGACTGCTTTCCTATCGCAAGCTGACTCCGAGGGAAACCAAGAGTGGACTGGATTCTTTCTATCTGTTTTTTCTATTCTTTCTGCCCCTCTGCGCCAGTTGCGCGTGAACATCGTTGATGACGACGAACAGGCATCAATTGTGGGAAATTTCAGCGACGTCGAGCTCGCTGAATGCAAAAATTTGATCGTGAGCGCCCTGGGACGGGACGAATGGCGCCCCTTGATCGAGTATGGTGCGTGTCGGTCAGCATCAGAAGCAATAATTGTCATTGATAGTGGAAGCGAAAGTGCGACGCATTGGGGATAAAATTGTTAGGCCCCGGCCCCGTGTCAGTGAAGGAGGTAATTAACTGTTCGTCTTGAGTTTGTCATCTGCCTGATGAGTTGCATCAGGTCTTCAATCGGCGTTTGAAGAACCGTATCGGGGGACGACAGACAGTCTGTTTATCAATACGTTGAAATCGTATTGGGAGTCAAGCCGGGGTCCCAACTCATCTAGGGCCCCGTATAATTGGTCCCTATCAGTCATCCAGTCTTCTGGAATGGGGAAATCCAGGATGGTCGAGCAAGCCGCGCGCTCCATATTTACGATTCCGATCAATATTCGCGAGGACATTGGCCCTCTTTTCCGAAGTGCGCAATGTTTCATCGCGGATTTCCATATTTGTGATGACGTTAATTTCGCCAGCGTACCCTCCTCCGGACGAGGCGTTTCGCCAATATTTTGAATCGCATCAATCGAAAACCGATGATCGCCTGCAGGTAGAATATGCGATTATATTGGCCTTGCTATTCGAACATGCCACCAACCTTCTTGACGGCCCCATCTTCAATAAGAAGAAGAAAACGGGAGCAGCGCTAGCACTTGAATGGACTGATTATCTCAACGAAGGACGAACCGATGCCAAAGTTGGTAACAACAGGAAAAGCTTCCTAGATTCTGTGGCGGCTGAGGCAGTGAAGGTTGGTATCTAGAGGGCTTATTGTTGCTGCCACATGCTGATTTTCCTTGGAAAGCTTCGAGTTTCGACGCTGGATGCAGCACAAGATGGTGCCCATGGTGACAGTGGGACCCAGAGCCCTATACAACGAATGAAGGTCTCATGTTCCCGCTTTGTCGAAACCCTCCCCGGGGAGGCGGGTGAACTCAAATGTATCATTTACTTTGATGAAGCTCACCGACTTGCCGAACCTGTCTCACCGCGTCAGCAGAATACGATGCGTACTCGCTCGTCCTATCATAACCTCGGCATAGTGCTGGCTGAGCTGACAGATTGTGCCGTTTTTTTCGTTTTTCTATCCACGAGTTCTCATCTCCAGAAACTGGCACCGTCGCCAGCCTCCCATCCATCGGCTCGCGTTGCTCCAGGTCTTTGCCTCTTCCCCCCTTTCACCGAGCTTCCGTTCGACGTGTTTGAAAACGAAGTTCTTCAATCTTTGAGACGCCAGGGGAAAAAACTGAGCCTCGAAAACATGTGCCAACCCAGTATAATGGCAGGGTTTGGACGTAGTTTGCAAGTGTTTACCACTCAATTTGTGGAAGATTCGGCTAAATCCGTAATAGATGGTATGTCCACCACCAAAACTGGGTAGAGAGCAGAGGAAGGCCTGTTATACCTTTCGCTGGAGAGAAACTGATCGCGCAAGGGGACGAGACGAGAGTGTTCCACTCTCAAGTGGCTGCGCTGGGGGTTCGCATTGGGATAACCCTCGACATGACCACTAAGGCCTCGAGAGTGATGGCAGCGGAACTCGTTGAGTCACACATGCGCGTTGTTTATGCCATTCCCCAACATCGTGAGTTCATGCATAGCGGAACGCCCTCTGAGCCGGTACTGGCCGAGGCGGCAGCATTGTACCTGAACGATAGCCATGGGATAGAGAGGCGGGGTCCAGAGATTCTAGCTCAGGGTTGCGGGAAAGGACTGCTTGCGCAAGGAGAGCGTGGAGAACTCTGCGGTCGACTTCTTGTGACCGTTGCACACGATCTCGCCTTGACACAAAAGTACTCCCCCAAAGCCACTTATAATCCAAATGCCGCACGTTTCCATCAACCTGTCCCCGTCCTCGAGTTTCTCCAGGCTCTATTTGCACAGCCATTCCACGAGATAATATTGAATGCCCACTCGGTGACGGCCAGAGATGGTGTGCCCACCTTGGGAAAGGCCTTTGCAAAATCTTATATCTGCTTTTCCCATTTCGCTCTGGCCAAAAATACCGAAATGTTGACTGCCCAAAATCTGGCAGTAGCACTACGGCGTGGAATGGCCCTCCAAGCTAAAGATAACCAGGAATCTATCGATGCTGTCATTCCTGTCCATATGGGTCCCACAAGCACGACTATCTTGCCGGAGTCCACATCAGCCATCAACTTGCAATTCAAGAATCGCAAACGGGCTGTCGCTTGCCATGTTGATCGCTCGATCACTGTTCCGGACATTTCCATGCCAGTAATATCGATCGTTTTCGAGTTCGGAGATGAGGGGGCAGCAACAGATTCACTTGTGACCATCGACACTAAGGCGACACGTCGCAGGACTCGCAGCTCTGTAGGCAAAATGCTCCCAGATGACCGCCACTATAAAATTACCGCTTATGGTTGCACTTCCAAGACTTTTAAGGCGGTTTCACCGGATGTCGAGAACCATTACCCGTCCATTCTCGCGGCTCGGAGTATCCTTGAGGACTTTCCTAGAGCAAAATCTAAAGAGAATTTGCAAGCCCTCGAGGACCTAAAACCGTACTTTGATGGTGTTCTAGAATCAGAGAAACGGTCAGAGGAGTGGGAGAAATTGAGGTCGGAGGGCAGAAAGCGCCCCCGGAGATCCGCGGAACCTGCAATTACACCGGCCACCTACTACTCGTGACCTAATCAATATAAAATGGTATCAAGGGTGCCCTGGTGCAGAGAGGAAAATATGGCTGGTTTTACGGAGGGGCCCGAAGGGCCCGAGAAGCCTTGGGGTACCTGTGATCAATTACAATACAATGCGCAGTGCCAATTTGTATTGCCAGCATTGTCTTCCGATCCGTTGTCATCGCCGCTGACATTGTTGACAATGTCAAAATCGATCTTCACAAATTTTGCATATTTTTTCTTCATTTTTTTTCCTGCCTTGCTGGCAACATAATTTATTATATTAATCTCAGCATCAATGCTTGTCATTGTTATTGTTCAATATGAGAACAGCATGGAAGGTGCAAAGCAATTAGAAAAAGTGACAAGTGAGCAGTAAAACAGGACAGAGAGAGAGGTGCAAACAAATTGGCAAAAAGGGAAGACATTATGTCACGATATCTCCTACATTTTAACAATTTGTCACGACCCGGCGTTCCCCGGAGTCAGACAAGCTCCTCCCTGACCTTTTCTCACACCCGAACACTCCGCTTGCTGCCTGTCGCTGTCTAACCACTTCTGTCAGGGCACACCTGCCTGACCCCGCGCTGTGCCCCGCACCGTACTGCCCTACTCCGCTTCCCCCGCTATCACCCCCCATCCCTCTTTCCTCACTTTTCCTCTTTCTCTCTATTTCTATTCTACAGTCGATTTCCCTTTTCTCCATGTACCACTACATACCTAACCCCATTCCCCTGATCGCCACATGCGCCGTGCACACTCCTGCCTACCGAGCGGCTACCTCCGGGATCTCCCACGGAGACACCCGGGGAGGTGCGGCTGTGCGCGGAGATGACGTGGCTTCCTCCACATGACCCTGACCGCATGTATATAATAGCACCTGGGGTGGGAACAGAAGAAGCAGCCTTCTTCTCAACTTCCCACTTCAGGTAAGTACCATAGCTTTTCCCTTTTAATGATAACTCAACTTCCCACTTCAGCCTAAGTGGTCAGGGAGGCTCACCCCACGACGGGACCGCCGCTATGCATAGCCAACACCTGTCCCATCGAGTCCCTCGCGCTGGGACCTCGCCGCTTTCGGAGCTGTCCCTGACAACTTCCCACCACTTCTCCACGACCCCTCTCCTAATTGTCATTGAACAACCTAGTGGCACAGAGTGCCACAACCTTTTGTCCCATGTTTCACTGCACCCTGTTATCTTGCAGCAAAGGTCACGTTTGACCTTCGCTGTCTTAAACATGTGCTTCTTGTTTGTTTTCCTTTGTTAGATACTGATCCGGGGTCGGGCACCGAAGGTCGCCGATGCGGACCGCTAAGGGCCGCGATGGCCGCGATGCCTCAGACAAGGCCTGAGGGTAGGGCATTTGGCCTCAGCAACTCTAAAGGGAGTGCTGTGCCCCCTAGTTGTCTCTTGGCCCTCATTTCGAACTTACTGGGGCTGCCTTGTTGGGGTCAGGGCTTGGGGTTGTGGTCAAGTTGATATTAGAGCTAAGGTACTATAATGTAGTATACAGGATATATATATGAAGGTGGAATGAATAGAAGCGGACCCGGGCCGAAGGCCGAAGGGTCCGGAAGCAAATAGGAACAAAGAGCGGGGTTGGCCGCACCGCGGCCGGCAATGACCGAGGGTCAAAACAAACAATAACAGATAAATAAACGAAGGGGTGTAGGGCCGCGATAGCGGCGATGGTATCATAGCGGAGTAGGCGATGTCGCGGAGTCACGCTAGGTCGGTACCAGAGGTGGACTCGGGGCAGGGAGGTCGGTGTGGCTGTGGGGGAGTCGGCCAAGTGTAGGGGAGCCTAGGGGCAAGTGGGGGAGTGAGCAGGGAGCCCTCAGGGAGGATAGGGCTGAGGTCGGGGCTCGCGCTCACGCTCGCATAGCGGTAACGGGCTCGGGCGGCATCGGGACAGGCGGCTAACGGGCCGGAATGCACGGCCGTGACACCTTTTTCTTTTCTCCACCCACAATCTCCGCAAGATCTGGTGACTTATTCTCTATTCAGTTCCCTAGTGCTTATATACAGCTTGTAACTATTGCTTGTACTGTAGTTCAAAATCAACTAGAATCCCCCCCCCTCTGTTCCCCGTAAGACCTCCACCTTCTGAAGTATCGGGACCATGTCGAGAATGAGGTGCAACACTCCTCCCTGAGTCATTGAAGCTGTCATATCCATGCATACCCGACCCCGACCCGACTTCCGGACCTCCACCCTCTTCACCTCTGGAGTCATACCCTACCGCTGCCGTTCCGATACTCACCTCCGGTCCTGGCAACACACCTCCTTCTACCCCCCCACACCACCTCTGCTCCTCCTTCCCTCTCCTCCCCTATCTCCATCCGCTCCAATACTCACCTTCGGACCTGACAACTCTCCTTTCCGCCACTCCTTCCCCCTTACCTTTCCCCTCTCTCCTCCCTCTGGTACTCCTCCGCCACCCTCCCGCCAAGTTATGACCTTCCGCCGCTGTCCCGTACTTCGTACTCAGACACTGCTCGTACCTTTGCTCTGAGCCTCCGTCATAGTCCCTACCTCAGACTTTGACTCCACCTCAGTCTTAGTCCATTGCATTGGTGACCTCATACTACGTAAACACCATTGCCAATATCCCTCGGACTTTCAATGTTATGGAAATGGGAATTTCCCATTTTAGACTCTTATGGGTTCTGTGTCACATGATTTGTATAGTAATTGAGTGGAACCAATCAATAATCAACCAAAAACCCGCTGTGCTAACATCTGTTACACCACATGTCAAACCATCTGTGAAACCACCTGTAAACCATTATGTCCAACCCCCTTCCCTATTCCTGCGCCAGAACGGACGAAAATGGGTGCTTCCAGCCCCATTTTTGTAACATTCAACCCTGCCTCCGTAACCTCTGTAAGCTCCACAACCCCCAAGCTTTGCGGATCGCCTTCAGCACTTTCGCCACTTGTAATGTATCTCTCGCGTTTACCCCTCATCCCTATTTGGACTACTGCTTCTTCCCATTCTAGCCAGTTAGTCATCATCCCCACTTCTCCTCATCCTCCTGCCCCTCTGGGCCTCGCCCTCTCTACCTCCTTTTGGATGTATCACAGGTCCTGCCTTATGACCTTCGGTACCGCTCCGCTTCTTCTACCCTTTGTTCCCGTTTGGATGTCTTCGTTCCGATTCGGTTTCCCTTTGTTCCCTTGTGCTTTTGCCCCCTCCATTATATATATCGGCACTTGTACATACTCGTTTTGGTTCAGTCCAAAATCGACCTGAAATGCCCCCTAGAGACTTCCTGCTCACCTACTGTGAAATTAAGGACCAAATGGACAAACAGCAATGGCACAGCACTCCGCTTGAGTCGCTGAGGCCAAGGTCCCTCCACGCTAAGTCTCCGATTCCACTCCGGAGTCGTCTGCATCCACCCGGTTCTAACAGAAGCCGAAATCCCGGCCTGCTCACCTAAGTAGCCTCAGCCTCGAGATCAGTGAGGTTAATCCTCACTAAAGCTCAGTCATGAGCAGGACACCTGTATCACTAGCAGCCAATGTTCAGTCGCCTATGGCTATCATTGGCGAAGCTTCACACGGTTCTGACAGTATTTTGAACTCCCCATCGCTCTTGATGCCCTCACAATGTCATGATGTATGACTTGCTTGCAGGTCTGGAACACTGTGGCAGGACCTTCTACAATGCCTTATAGAGACTACATGTCATGGCTGTGCATTCCGGCCCGTTCCCCGCCTGTCCCGATGCCGCCTGAGCCCATTACCGCTATGTGAGCGTGAGCACAAGCCCCGACCTCAGCCCTATCCTCCATGAGGACTCCCTGCTCACTCCCATGCTTGCCCCTAGGCTCCCCTGCACCTGGCCGACTCCCCCACAGCCACACCAACCTCCTGTCAGGGCATGCTGCCGCCGCCGCTGCCGCCACCTCCTTTCCTTTCCTCCATCCTGTCATATCCATCCCCAGCCATTGACTTCCGGTCCCTCCGATCCCTCCAGTCTAACTCCGCTCCTTCCTCACTAACCTCGGAGCTCCCATATTCTGCAATCCTCTCAGTACCCCTCGATGGTCACCACCCCCTCATTTCAATTTATTACCTATGCCTCCCTAAGTATGGAGCCCTGAAGACTTCCGGACAGCTCCAACGTCCGCTAGCGCACTCCCACCTCCGCTGGGCAATACACTCGCCTGCCCTGCAGAGCCCACCTTTGGACCTATCCCTCCTTTCCGTTTCTGGGTTATCACCTGCCTTTCCACTAACCCCGCAACCCGACTCGTTGGTAATATTCAGTTGGCTAATGTTTAACCCCGTTAGCCCCGCTCCATTCGGCTCCGCCAATTGCGGACCTGTCTTCGTTGTAACCATATATATATCCAACTTGTACATAGGTTACACTCCAGTAATAAAATCAACTAGAGTTACCCCCCTTCAGTTCTGATTGCCAGTCAGTAAGCTAGGGCATGGATGTGTCACTAGGCACAGCGCTCTTGGCATAAGTCGCTGAGGCCAAAGCCCTCCATCACGGAGACTCTCCCTCATCTCGAATCTGGTCTCTGACACATCCCCTCATTCTCTCTTGTTTCCTTCTTCGCCTTTTTTCTATCTTTATACAGATGATCTCTCTTTCTCTTTCCTACACTTGTAGCATGGACATGCCCGACGCTGAGCCCCCTGTAGGGGCACTGCAATGCCGGACGCGCCGCGCACTCCTACTTGTATTTCCCCTCCAACACTTGGGATCGACTGCGGAGCCACCCGCGGTAACCCGGCTTCGTCCGAGGGTGACGTGGCACCTCCACGTGACCCATTCACACATGTATATAAACTAAGCCGAAGCAGGACCGAAGAAGTAACCTTCTTCTCATTTCCCACTTCAGGCAAGTACCCTAGTTTAGTCTAGCTTCCCACCCTGATAACAATACATTTCCTGCTTCAGCCTAAGAAGCCACACAGGGACGTAAGCCTGAGTGAGGGCTGCCCACTATACGGTCTTACCGCCCTGCCACTGTCCGGGCCGCTAGTGCCAAGCGCTATGCCGCTACCTCTACCTCCCTCGAGCCGTCCCTGACAGCAGAAGAAGGTTTCAACCTAATTTCCCCCACCTCCTCCAGCATGGTGACCGAAGAGCAGTACCAGGACCTGCTGACTAGGTTCCAGGAACTGCAGGCCATCCTCGAGAGCCACGTCCAGAACCCACCGGCCCTGCCTGTGCCCGCACCTGCACCCACACCCAAGCCCAAAGCACCCAAGGCTGCCCCCCCACCGCCTTTGCTGGAGCAAGTGAGGACCTCGACTGCTTTAAAGCGGAATGCGGAATCTACTTCCATGTCCGTGCCACGGAGTTCCC